CCACCGGAAGAAACCGAGGACATGCTGAAAGAAGCTGTACTCACTGAGGTTTTTGAACATAAACTTGAGGTCAAATGCAAATCAGTAGGTAGAATTCACAGATTAGGCAAGCCCGGTGGCAGTCGCCCAGTTATCGTATATTTTCAGGATTACAATGAAAAGCAGCAAACTATATCGAATGCCCATAAGCTAAAGGGTACAGATATTTCTGTTCAAAATAACTATTCTAAGGAAACACTCCGTAAACGTAAACTACTCTGGAACAGCGCCAAAGAAGAAAAGAGACAAGGCAAGAAGGTTAATCTTGTACATGACAAACTTATGGTTGATCGGGATAGGTATGTATGGGATGACTGCAAAAACTCGAGGATTAAAATTGCCAGTTCCCAGTCCAGTTAACATAAAACATGACCTGAACGCCCCGATTCTAAACAACTGCGCCTCCTAAATATTAACGCACGCAGCATCGTTAATAAATCTGAGCAACTGGAGTTCATTCTTCTTGGCAATAGTCCGCACATTGTTGTTATCACGGAAACCTAGTTGTGTGACGGTATCAGCGATGATGTCGTTTTCCCCCTCCCTCCTATCGGGTGTATCGTCGAGATAGAAATCGTAGCGGAGGCGGTGTTGCTGTGCTCGTAAAATGTGCTCTTGATGCGACGCTTCTTAATCAGATCGACGACCACGAAAGCCTTTCTTTGAAGGTATCCTTCTGTGGGCGTTCATTTATCTTTGCTGTGTATCGTGCACCTGACTCGCCTCCTCGGTTTCTGCATGACTTACACGAACACATGGCGTCATACAAGCATGACAGAATATTTCTTGTGGGCGATTTCAACATGCCTAACGTAAATTGGGACTCCGCTTTTGCCAGTGTCGGACAATCCCCGCAAACCCCGTATCTACTAGATATAATGATGTGCCATGATTTGCGCCAGGTGGTGAAGCAACCAACACGTGTCGGCATGACCTGTGCTTCTGTACTTGACCTTGTTTTTGTAAGTCAATCAATACAAAATTATTATGTCTGCATTGAAAATGGTCTTTCTGACCACCATATGGTGTCTTTTTCATGCTCTGTGGAAAAAGTGTGTACTGTGCCTCGAGGTAAATGTATTCGCGTCAAAAATTTTTCCCGTGCCCATGATGAATCTGTGTTAGATTATTTAGAACTCCGCCTAAGCAACTTCCACGGTTCTAACACTGCCCAATGTGGGATACTTTCAAGAACATGTGTCTTCACTGTATCGAACATTTTGTTCCAGACAAGGTAAAAAAAACGCGTAAGCTAACCCCTTGGATTTCACGGGATATTTTACACTTGAAAAGAAAATTAAAACGCCTGAAGCGAGGAGTGTCCTCTCGTGACATCATTCAAACCACTCAATTAGCCCTTAATCAAGCCGTAGCAAGCGCTAAACGAAGTTATTTTGAGCACGAGTTGCCGAATTTCATTCGATCTGCTCCGCAGAAATTTTGCAACTTCTTGTCGAACAAAGAAAACCTATTGAAAAATTACGTCACGATAATGCGCTCCTCGTTGATAAGACAGACATTGCTGAGCATTTCAACGCTTATTTCCACGGTGTATTTTCGACAGTACATGAGCCTATGCCCCAAATTGTTTCCAATTGCAGAATCAATGCTGATATTGTGTCTATATCTGGTGTGATTTCTATGATGCTTAACCTAAAACTAAGTCTTCACCTGGTCCTGACGGGATACCGAACGTTTTTCTTTCCCGTTATGCTGAAGCATTATCACCCTTTCTTGTGGCAATTTTCAACACATCATTATCTTCTGGTGTCCTACCCTTTGATTGGAAGTCGGACGCATTGTTCCCGTGTTTAAAAAAAGGTGATGTCATGGTCCTGGTAATTATCGTCCCATTTCATTACATCATCTTGCTGTAAAACTTAGAACTATTATAGCTAACTACATTTCCAAGTTTCTCAACGATAACGGTTTATTATCCTGCTTCCACCATGGTTTTAGAAAAGGATTTTTCTACTGTCACTCAATTAACCTCTATTGTTCACAGTTTTTTGCCGGCATCCTTGATAAGACTGGCTAGGTCCGACGTAATTTTCCTGGATTTTCGAAAGGCCTTTGACCTTGTTCCACATTCGCAACTCATGCTCAAACTACAGGCAATTGGCTTCCGGCCTTTATAACAACTGGATTATTTCTTATCTATCTGACCGCACGCAATATGTTAGTATTGATGATAAATGTTCCAAATCTTTACCCTCACATCTGGCGTTCCGCAAGGTAGTGTACTAGGCCCTCTTTTGTTTCTTATATATATTAATGATATTGTTGATGTGATTACCAGCCCAGTACAAATTAGACTATTTGCGGATGATTGTATTCTTTGTTAACGAAATAACTTGCCACGAGGATCAAATTCAATTAAATTCTAACCTTCTTAGCATACAGGCATGGTGCACAAAGGTGGAATATGAAGTTAAATGCCGAAAAATCGGTCTTCATGAAAATTACTAAAAAAGAACAGCTTGTCGTTTTCCTATGAGCTTCCTGAACGGCCGCTTGTGAAGTCGGTTGTACAAGTACCTTGGTGTCACCATGTACAAACAACCTAAGCTGGAATCAGCACGTTTCCAACGTCTGTGCGTCCTCTTTTCGCAAGCTCTGCCTTCTCAGACCAAACTTAAAATTAGCTCCTCCAAGTGTTAAACTTCTTGCATACACATCGATTATTAGACCGAAACTCGAATACGCATGCTCAGTTGGGACCCGCACAAGCAAAAAAAATATTCAGGCTCTTGAAATGATACAGCGCAAAGCGGTTCGCTTTATCTACTCAAAATATCGTTATCAGACTCGCCTACTACCTCATGAAAGAGCACGGGATCCAAACGTTGCAGGCACGACATACAATAGAAAGGCTTAAATTTCTTTACCAGCTTAAGAGCAACAAACTCGGCATTAGCCCTGATCATTTATTCAGCCATTGACTTCTCGGCGTACACGACATCGACACGCTGCATCCCTGACCCCCTACAGCGCAGAACAAACGTCTTCAAATTTTCCGTCTCGCCACGCACATATCTGACTAGAAGGATCTGCCCATATCTGTTGTCTGGTAGTATTGATGGGATTGAACAGATAGAAAATTGAGACAGTATGTTTCTTTTCTTTTTAGAAGTTGCTGTATTTTACCTTGTATTGTCGGTTTGTTTATACTTGAGTGATTATGCCCCTCCTGCTTGGGCCCCTTGTGGGGCCTGCAGTATGTCATAATAAAATAAATAAATAAATCTTTCACGCGTACTTTGGCACGCGAGGAGAATAAGAGGTGTACGCTCCATCGCGTGCCTTTATCTTGCAGTGGGGAGGATTGTACGCCTTGGCTAGCCTTTGGATATCGCCGGAACAATTCTGTTGTGGTTACCGAGCGCACAAAGGTCACCGCAATCGTTGCACAGCCTCCGTTTGCGAAAAGGGGCGCTTTTGAGAAACAGCGAAGTAACAACTGAGGCGCTTATTCGCGTTGATCTGTACCTGTGAGTACGTTTCGTGTCATTTGTGCGTGAGAAACGCGAGGCACATCTCGATCTGCTTGCAATTCTGGGCTTGACCTTCCAATTTGTTGTTTCTTTCGCATGCATTGCTTCGCCTTTGCGGCAAAACTGTGACTTTTTTCTTTTTTTGTGGCATTCCACGCGGTGTCTTGTCATTTCTTTTTTTTCTTGTATTTAAAGAAAGCCCGCAAAACATGAAGTGAAACCATTTGGCTGCGCTCATGCGCTACCATATGGCAGCATGCTCAGTTATATTGGGAACAAGACAGCCATGCACATGGACCATCAATGTATCGCTTATTAGGAATGAAAGCGTTTCTTTGCCACGTTGGGCCTTCAAAACGCTGACTCACTGTCAAGCTAGTGGCTAGAGCCTTCTGTGGCCATGGTTTCCGCGCATGGTTCTTCACTCAAAGCACGGTTAATTGTATACGGTTGTGCATGAGGGTCATGTGTTTTTTTATAGTTCTTATCATATGGACTTTTTTAAACACTGGAAAAAATCACCATGCTACATGTTATTGAAAACCTCGGTCATTTATTTTGGTATGCCCATTACAACGTTCCGATAAGTAAGTGGCTCTAAAGCAAGAAATAAAATTTTGCATGTTTGATCTTGGTTATAATACCGGACTGTTTCACGTAGTCCGTTTGGCGGGAGGAAGCTTGCCATGTGCAGAAGCTCCGCACCCATAGCTTTCCTTTCATGTGGAGAAATGTAGTCTGCGAGGTATACTTTCAGGTTTTTTTTAGCCAAAAAAGGATACTGAAGAAAAACAGAAAAATATCAACATTCTACTTGGGCACCAACACATCAACATTCTGCTTGGAAGTAGAAACTGTGCCGATTTCGCGTATTTTCGAACATTTCCCTCTATGCTTGGCCAATTGTCAGCGAGACTGCACGCGATGATGAGCCGTGACTCACACTCACCGAAGTGCATGCAAGGTGCACGTCCTCCTCTTCTTTTCCTCTACTTCTCCTTTCATCCCACTCTCTCTCTTCTGCAAAAGCACTGGTAAAGCACAAAAGCTTTACTCCAGCCAGGAGCATTGTTCACTATCAATATGCTTGCATTGGTTATGGGAACCGATGTGGAAGCTGAGAGGGTTGGGAGACGCAGGCGATAGCCAGCATTGCTGGCATGCTCGTCACATCCTCTAGTTCACGGTGTGGTACTAGGTGCAGCAGTTTGTCAAAAATGCAATTTGTTATTTTACTTCAGTTTCATCCTGAAGAGAACGTTGTGTCTATCAATTTCGGAGTCCAGTACGTCAATTTATCTAAAAGTCTTGGTGGTGAAAATTCTGCTCAGTACTTGTTTAATGCATTTTGTCATCATGCAAAGTGCTATACAATCATTATTGCCCTGCTGAGTGTAGTATGGAGTGCTGTGTTGCCAATGCTGCTCTTTCCACACCTAAGGCAGCAAACACTGTTTCACGGTGCAGGCACAGCCTGCTGATGGCTACTCGAAGCCCGCTGGCCAGAATGAGAAGCAGTGCCAGGGTTTGCCATCCCAGGACACTATGCAGCGTTGCCTCAACTTCCCCAGCATGAAGGAGTGCAAGGACGGCCTGCGGTCTTCGTGGAACCCGCTCCAGATGCCCCCAAACGTCATCCAAACTCAGTGGGGCGCGATCCAGGAGTACCTAGCCCAGAATGCCTCCCGCCTCGAATGCGTCATGAGTTCGCTTCCGAAAAAGGAAATTCCGTCAACTTTCTCTGTCACTGCTGCCCGCAACGTCAGGCCTTTCGCAAGAAGACGGACTCCCGGTGTTTGGAGGCATTCAATGGTTGGACGAACTAATCTTGCTGTACCCTGTGATTTGTGCCGTTTGTTGACATAATAAAATTCAGGTTTTTTATAGGTTTTTTGAGCAATGCACATAGTATCATAGCTTTTGTGTCTTCTGTCTCTTCACAATGACTGGTCAAGGCAGATTCTACATGTTGTTTAAATTTATTATAATTTATATGTACTCCATTCTGACTGCATGATGATGTTATAGGACAAACAATATCAAATATACTGGCAAGTGATCGCTGTTTGTGGCACATTTCAATACAGTCTGTGACAAACTAGTGAGAAAGGAACTAACATAACTGAAATTCCAGTGATGAGCGAGACAGGCCACTAATAAATGTAGGTGTTCGGGAATGGAGGCACGATAAATCGTTATCTGCTGTCCACTTCCACAACCGTTTATCACAACGATCCGGTTCCAAAAACCCGACAGGTATGGCAGGAATTGAAATCTCCACCAAAATTTTATCTCTAAGACAAGATGTCAGTGCAATGTCCAAACATTGTGTGTCTAGAACCCCTGTAGGGAAGTGTGCATTGAGTAGTAAGAAAGGCAGGCAACATGTCAAAAGTGATTCTAAGGTGAAAATTTCGCTTTCCGGTGACATATGCTTATAGGCAATTGTAGCCTTTATACTTATTTTATTATTAATAAAAAATAGCAGCCCACCTTTCAATGGACAGTCCAGACGGAAAGATTTATATCTATTTAATTGAAAGATCTCATGTGTTGAAAGCGAGGTTTCTTGTAATGCAATTATATCTGGATTGAATTTCGATTCTAAGAATGATAAATTGGTTATTGCTGAATGAATTGATTGGCAATTCCAGTGAAGAATTTTAGGTGACTCTGTGGGTTGGCTAAAATGGTTTCGGTGACTGCCTCATTTAAGATACTTTCTTTTAGAAAATCGGCTTTAGATGGGCTGTGCTTTTGGTATTTCTTGGACTTTGAAGGGCTAGGTTGAGTACCTTTTTTTGCTCAAAGGGGATCTTAAGCGCTTTAGTGATCGGGGGTCTATCTCCATTTCATTGATTCCGGCATGTCTTCCACGGTAGCTTCACTTTGACCGAGATGAGTTCAGTAGATGCACTCTCGACTTGGCATGTCTTCCCTGGTAGCTTCGCTCTGACCGAGAGTGAGTTCAGCAGATGCATTGTCGACTTGAGCACCCTGCTACGAGGTATCTGAGACTACCTCATTGAAGGTCCTTTGCTTTCGCTGTTTCGACTAGGTGGTCTGAGATTTTCAGCTGTGCCCAATAAGGTGGGCATCTGGTTCGTGAGCATATGGGTCAATGTTTTCATAAAGGCTTCCAGCTAGACATTCTATCACCTTTTCCATTGCTTTATTAATTGCTTCCGCAATAGAAGCAGAGAGCGACCCTTCCATTGCTGGTATATGACGGGCTGTAATGCTAGCATAATCTAAGTTTTCGTGCTTGAATTTCAGCTACTGCTTCCTTAGGAGAGCATCGCCTATGTTCACCTATTTCAAGAATTTGCAGTTCACGAGCCTTTGCAGGACAGTTTGAAAAGTCTGCAGCATGAGCTCCTTGACCTAAGCAACGCTTTTCATTGTTACCTTTACACTCTTTAGAATCGCACCCTTCTCCACATACTCTGCACCTGACAGCAGACCTGCAACCTTTCATGGTGTGCCCATAATGCCAGCACCTAACGCATTGAAGAGGGCGAGCGGAGAGTGCTTCGACTCGGTAAATAATAGGCCATGCCTTAATTTATGATGGTCGGACTGCTCCCGCAAATGTCACTATGACGGACTTGGTTGGTATTTTCTTCTTGTCAACAAATTGTGCACACCGATAAACTTATATACAGTCGCCGACCGATTTTTCGGACCTGGCGGGGACCGAAAAAAAGTACGAAAAATCGAACAGTCCGAAAAAATTCGTTTTCGCCAAAAATCTGAAGTTTATTGCATCAGGCAGGTTTAAAAAAGTCCTTGATGCTGCCTTGCCTCAACTACGCTTGGAGGCAATTTGGTTTGCCCGTATTTGCGCCAAGGTGACATCGTCGCCATAAACGCTCGACAAAATTGTCACCGCGTTGGCGATCTCCGCCGCCGACGGCTGCGGGCGGTCGTCGTTGTCGTCATCCGAGCCGCTCTCGGCTCCGGGACAACCTGGCGAAGAATTTCGTCGTCAGTGGCCTCCGCGCACGAAACAATGTCGTCGTCCGCACGAGTGAAGTCTTTAAATGTCATTGTCGCAGGTAGAGAATCCTTCTTTCGCCTCCTCCCCGTGCGATGTGATGACGATAGTGCTGACCGAAGACGAAAAAACGGCATCCATCACCGCCTCTTTTAAAAAGCAAACACGGCCTCCGAAACTTAAAATATGGCGTGCGCATTCCAATCTCGGAGGCAGGAAAAGCATCAGAAGATCAAGCTTAGCCAAGCCGACAGAAAATCCAATGGCGGCGTTCACAATGGCTTGGGGCGTGGCACAAAACGAGCGATTTAGTCCGAAACATCGAACTTTCAGGGGCAAATTCGCCCGAAAAATCGGTCGAAACAATGCATTAGCTCTATGGGATCCCTGACGGTGCATTTATAAAGTCCGGAATATCCAACAAGTCCGAATTTTTTGAGTCCGGAAAATCGGTCGGCGACTGTAACACCTGCTAGGGAAAACAGTTCTAGAATTTCAGTTGGTGTCAAGTTGACGTCAACGCCACGGACTAGACCTCTGGAACATGCTAAATGCGGTGAAATAAACACGCTCATCGGATTAGATGCAAATATAGTGCACTTTAGAAGATCTTGCACGCAGGACTGGACAGGAGAAAAGCAGAGTATACTCCCTTTGCCGAACTGGCGGACCTCGGTGATGAACTGGAAGTGGGCCGTCGGTGATCGCAATTCCGTTTGTATCACCTTTGGGTTTTCAACCAAATGATGCCCTCATTGGCATTGGTAGGAACTAGCGCCACAGGAACAGATGATATGCTGTTCCACAAAAAAATCTACTGGCAACTCCTGCGAAGGAATGGACGCACACCAGAGGAAGTCTCTGATTCCGGCGAAGAATAGGACATTCTCTCTGGTCGAAACTGCACAAAAATGCTTCTCGACCAACTATTCCACTCTAAAAAACTATGAAATCCCTGTAAAATAAAGCACTACTCAATCCTTGGCCAAGACCCCTCTGGCTGAAGTGTTCTGCTTTTTTTTACTATCCCCCTCTCCACTCACCTTCATTTTTTTCGTACGTCTATGGGGTTGAGTTCAATAGGTGTAAAATATTCAAATCATTTGCATTTTCTCGCACCTTTTTTTCGAGAAACTTGGACAGGTGATGGGCCATTGCATCTGGAGGCTTTCTTATATGTTGGACACTTTTTCTTATTTTAGCAGTCCTTCTCTCTATGCTAGAACAATGATATTTGTTAACTTATGACCTTAGGATGCCAAATAATTACTCACAAGAGAAACGGTACGTGTTTATTTATGACATATTTGAGATCACTTACTTCTGACACATATTTGTCATGACATACTTCCCTATTACTTTGAAGCGGCCTTGAAACACTTTTTCAGTAATTATGGAACGGATTCACTATAAGAGCTTATTGCCTCGCAAATTCAAAAATTTGCGGCAACAGTTTTAAGAATCCGTCCACTACGAGTGGAGTTACAAAGAATTGGCAGACTCTGCAATTGCGTTCTCTCTTCTTCTCCTGCGAAAGCACTGGAAGCTAAGCAGGGAGGAATGGCAGGGGCAAAGAAAGTACATCATACAATACTTCTTGTGACCTTGAGCACTTTTTCTTTTTTTCTTCAAACACGGCCTTTTCTGCACGCACGCGTGGACAAGTTGCGGCCTCCTGCGGCAATCCTTGTAACGATCGAAAACTCCATGTTCAAATCAGCCAATGGCTGATAGATGGCCTTCTACATGCAATTTTTGCGTATTCCGTCATTTATCGAGAGGAGGAAAGCAATTTTAGCTGACTTTGATCATTTATTGTGAATTCCAGGCTGTGTGCTGTGCTATAATACTTGGCTCACTTGTTCTCAAGAGCCTCTACTACCGATTGGCAGTCTTTCCAGACCATGCTCAAAAATTATTGCAGGGCCCTTTAAAAGTCAAATTACTTGCACCTTCTAAACTTCAAGTGTTTCTGGCTCTCCCTTTGGACACTCCTATTTTTGTTAAAACATTCAAGCAGAAGCGCATACACGTGAGCAAAAAAAATGAACTACTTTTGCAGGCAGTTCTTTGCTGAGAATTTCACAGCCAACTCTACCCAGCTTGATTTCGCCAAGAGCTCAATGAAATCATGTATGCTGAAGGAGTGCAATTTTTTATCGGAAAAAACAAGAAAGCAAATGCATCCTTCAAAGTTTCACCAGTCTGGCACGATTTTCACAAGGATACAGTAAGCCTCCCCTGTCACTGCACTTACTGTTCGGTGTGACAATATCTTCGAATTTCTTGGAGGCAAGAGCATAAATGCACTTATTACAAAGCCTTTTTGCTGAACTCTTTGCAATAAAGCCAGCAACGAAAATTGAGACAGCTGTCACTTTTATGAACGACATAGATACTGTGATCACCAATAGACTGCAGCGTAGACCTAACACTGTCAACATCTCTAAATTCCAACATGTCTTCTAAGATATCTCGTATGCTGAAAATATAATCACTTCAGACTGGCGACAAAGTATTAAGCGGAGCTATTACAAGCTCTGCTACGGAGTTCCCACTCTTAGGTCGTCTCGCAAGATTATAAAATATAAGCAATTTACAGTTACTAGGAACTGTGAGGATTGAAATGGGCATTACTATTGCAATATTGCAGATAAACCCCCAAAAAAAACCTTCCTGTTAGTCCTGGCTCAGCCGGGTAGTTAACATGTACCTGATTAGCATGGTCAGTTTGCTGACTCGTCAGCAAACTGACCATGCTGAT